ACTATTCATATAATGTTACAATGAAACGTAACATCATAAATATGACATACCATATATATATATATATTGATGATCCTATTTTATTATTTTTGTGATTACTCAAACTATTTATATAATGTGAGAATAAAACATAGTATAATATGTTATATAGTTATATACTATATTTTTATTTGATATAGCATGTTATATTCATACAACATGTCATGTATTAACATGGTATGCCGAAGTATTATTATACACATCATATTCTTATATCGTATAACATTTATATATTATACAAAATTTCGTATATTAACATGGTATGTCATATTATTATTATACACATCATATTATTGTATCGTATAGCATGTTACATGAAAAGATGGCATGTTATATAGTATATAACATGTCATATATTAACATAATATTGGCACGTTATAATTGTAAATATCATATATTATGTTATGTTACATAGCAATAAATTTAAAATTATGTGTGAATATTGTTTATAACAAGATGAATATGATACTACACGTTATATATTTGTATGGTATACCATGTTATATAGTAAAATAACACACTATATGGTATAGTACATTTCATTTTAACAATTATATAAATAATTTGAGTAATTTATGTCTATTTCTAAAATTTCAAATTGTAACATATAAAAAAAATCTTTGATTTTGAAATGATTATGTTATAGTAATAAACATTATAGGTGTGGATATCAAAAGGGAGAAAAAATTGTTGAAAGAGAAATTGATTAAAAATAAAACGACATGTTAGATATGTTTTATGGCATATTGAACAATTTGTTTTATGGTGTGTTAGAAAAAAAAATTCGTAATATAAGCTATTTAATTACATATTCATAATACGTTCGCCCTAGAGAGAGTTCTCTCTGGCCCGGGTCCCAAGGAGCCGTCGTCGACATCTCCGTATGACCGGCGTTCTGCTTCTTTCGACCGGTGATAGGAAGACCGCTCACTGGCCTCTCGCCGATGTGCTTATCACCGGAGGAAACCAACCCTCCGACCAACCCCTCCCCCACCCTTGATGGCTTTAGCTGAGCCTTTGGCTCGGCCCCGCGTTGAGTCCTCTGTACCTTCCTCTCGTCACTTCGAGACGATAGAACTCTCTCAAGAGCGGCCATCTCCATCACCTAAACCGCCTGACCCGCCAGATCAAATCTCTGCACCGGCTGCACCGTCGCGCTTAATTAACCCTGCTCACCACCGTCTAGCTCAGTCGGCAACTGTCCTAGACCCGAACGGCACGGGAAGGGGCTCACGGCGCAATGCCGATGGCAGGTTCCCAAGCCACCACCACCATCTCCGCCGTGGTCTAAACGACGGGGAGAGTACCCCAC